AAACATCAATGATGAGAGAGAATCATTGATCTGCTGCCTCCTGCACGCCCCCTACTGGGGATCGAGCCCGCAACCCGAGCATGTGCCTTTGACTGGAATGGAAACTGGGACCCTTCAGTTTGCAAGCCAATGCTGTGCCCACTGAGCCAAACCGGCTAGGGCTCATCACTGATGTTTCTCTCTCTCCCTCCCTCCCCGTCCTCTCTGAAATCAATTTAAAAATATATATATATATATTACACCCCGCACTTGAGGGCATTTTCCTTCCCCACTTCGCCCCTAAGCGGGCTGGGCTTGGGGAGCAGTTCTCTTTGGTCTGTGCCAACGTATTGCTCAGGGCCATTTGTGCTGCAGGGTTTCCTCCAAAGTCAGTGGTCACAGGGCACCCCACGAGGCAAACACCACGGGTGGAAGGAAGGATGGCAGCGGCAGGAGGGGGTACCCCCCTGGGAGTGTGGGCCTTGTGATTCCCAGGTTCCAACTTTCAAAGGCTTGAAATGGTGAGAACATGACTCTATAAGTCTACTGAGTTCCCTGGAAGGCAAATCAGACAGTTTCATGTCGCTCGGCCTTTACTTTCTGACTGGGCAGCGGGAACGGGAATTTTTTACTTGCCGTGTGCATGCTGGCTAATGATAAGGCAGGAGCCACCAGTTTTTTTCATGTTCGTTTGATCTCTCAGACGTGACTTCCAAGGAATAACAGACACGTTTCCTTTTCCATGTCACTTACCACTTCCCCCCGTAGTTTTCCGACAGGATGGCTATCATTCTCTCCACTGAGCCCAGAATGGCTCGGTGAATGATCACAGGGCTCTTCTTGTCATCCCCATCCTTACTAAAAAGGAAAATGACACATTTCAGGGTTTTCTTTTTTTAAAAATACACTTTTTATTGATGTTAGAGAAGGAGTGAGAGAGAGAGAGAGAAACATCAATGATGAGAATCATTGATCGGCTGCCTCCTGCACGCCCCCTACAGGGGGTGGGGCCCACAACCCAGGCATGTGCTCTGACTGGGAATATAACCATGACCTCCTGGTTCACAGGTCGATGTGCAACCACTGAGCTACACCGGCTGGGCCTGACTGATTTTTGATAAAAGTACAACAGCAAGTCAATGCAGAAAGGATGCTCTCTACAACCAATGGTGCTAGAATAATTAGACATCCAGATGTAACCAATGAACTCTGACCTAAACTTTCACATCTCAGA